GACTCGATGGCACTTAACAAATCTAACCTGAGGGGCTCATCTTTTAGCACAATCACACTATTTCACTGCTGTTCATAAGGTTTTCATTGGCTAACTCTTTCAGAAGTGGTCCACCTTCCCTTCCTCCTGATTTTAGTCTGAAGCTCCACTGAAACCTGCTCACCCTGCTGGTATTTAAAATACCGGTGGCTTCCAGCATTAACAGCCACACATAAGCCACCACAGTACAGAGCAGTGACAGACGAGTGGTGGAACCTGCCCTAGGAAGCCCAAATGAAAGAGAGAAGCAGCTCAGAGAGACAGAAAAGAGTACAGAGAGTTATCATGCAAGTTAAAGGTTCACAGCTGTAAACCAGGAAGAGAAATGGGCAGCTCCATGTACCACAGAGAGGGCCAGCAAAATAAAGACTGACTAGAAAGTGTTTATAAGATTTGACATTTAGGAAGTCATTGGTAAACTTTGACTGGTAAGGGAGAGTTTTGGCAGAAATAATAGAACTGACCTCAGCCCCACCTATGTATATGTGGAAGGAGAATAGGAATTAAGTTCCTTAAAGTGTTGCATTTTATAAAACAGGGCCTAAAAAAAAAGTTATACATTTGAAAACCATTTAAAGGTTTAGATGCCTGACTCTATGAAATAAGCACAACCTCCTTAGAAAAGAATGTGTCTCTGTGCTGTTTAGGGATGGGGTGGGGAAGAGGTTTCCAATGCCACCTTGTGTAAACAAATGCAATATTAAAGCACATTTTGTACATTTATGAATAGAATCACAATTCTGACCTGTGCTTTTGTTTTGTACAACAGCGCCCCCTGGTGTAAATGTCACACGAGTATCTTTCAGCATGATGGTGGTGGTGTTAAATGCCGTTGAGTGGGTTCCGACCCACAGCAACCCTGTGTAGGCAGTAGTCTAGAAATTACTACTGCTGACACTTTTTACCTAAAAAGCAATTGCAGAATACATGGCCCTGGTGTGGCACTGTACGATAAGTACTGGACTGCTAACTTCAATATTGATAGTTCAAACTCACTAAGATGCTCCCTCAGAAACCGATACAGGGTTGCTATGAGTTGGATCGATGCAAGGTCATTTAACAACTGCATAACATGTTTTGGAATGGGGAGGGTGTTTGAAGGAGGATCTTTAGTTTTATCGCATGCCAAACTGGACAATCATGTTCCTGGCAAGGCTCATTTAAGATGATAAACATTAATTTGCCCTCATGCATTGTATACATGTAGGTTCTAAGTCAGATAATGGGTTTAACACTTGTTTTTAAAATAACATTTATAAAATTACATATGCATAAAAATTCACTAATCCTTAGAGCACAAGGCATTTCTCAATTTGAACCACTTGAGTACCATAGCACACAGATCAAGAAACAGAACATTACCACACCTTAGATATGCACCTGTGCCAACCACAGCGACTACCATGGCTGCGCACATCACATTAATCTCATTTTTGAACTAAGATTGGAATTATCAGTGGCGACTCTTTTGTATCTTGCTTGTTCAATATATTTGAGATTCAGCCACGTTGTTCTTTGTAGTTGTAAGCCACTCTCTTCTGTCATAGAAAAATACCACTGTGAAACAATCATTTATCTGTCCTAACGTTGATAAAAATTTGGGTCACTTCCTGTTTTGAGTTATTATATAGAATCTGTGAACATTCTTGTACATGCCTTTTGGCATACATATGCATGTACTTCTTTACGTCTATACCTAGGAGAGGAGTTACTGAGTTATAGGGTGTGTTTAGTGAGTAGATACTGTCAATTTTCCAAAGTGGTCTATCAATTAATATTTCCAGCAGCAGTGGATTGTTAATCTTTGTAATTGTCAGTATTATAGATATATGCCATTGTACTTTTTTGACAAAATGAAGTGTCATTTATTGTACCATTAAAAAAGTTTTATTGTGAATTATGTGGTAGTTTACATGGGAGAACATTAGTTTTATATTCATCCTGTTATTTCATTGCCATAGTTACAACCGAAGGGTACACCCCGCAAGCCTGCCCCTTAGTTGTCAGCACACAGCCCCCATCTCTCTCTGGGTCTAGAGTCCCCAGCCGCTCCATCTCTCCACGTCATCGTCTCTGCCTCCATCTCTGGTATCACTGTTTCTCTGGGTAGGGTCCCATACTTCACTCTTCTCTGGTATCACTGTTTCTCTGGGTAGGGTCCCATACTCCACTCTTCTCCTTTGATGGTCCCAGGGACCTCCGCTCTTGGACTGCAAAGTCAATCACTCCCCTCCTTTTGCTACAAAAGTCTACCTTTACATTTTCAACACTCATAGCCAGTCAGTCCTGATATCAATTATTCACTGTTGTACCACAAGAGTCCAATCTTCATCTCCTTTCATCAGCCCTGCCCAGACAGATCGGATACTACTCAGTGGAGAGTCTACCTTCCTCCACACCCTCTGGATCTAGGTTCCCTCTTGAAAGCTTGTAAGCCAGTCACTTCTTGCCTTTGTAGCTCCCCCCCACCCCCATTTTGATACCAAAAAAATTCAAAACAAAACAAGGAATATTGTCCACCTTTGTCTCAGAGGTTCCTGCAGGCGTTAGTCCATGGCAGGTTTGCTTGTTCCCTCACTTGGTCTTGACATTTGGTCTCGCTCAAGTTGTCAGCTCCAGGTCGCTGAGCCCTGGATTTGAAAGTACAAGATTTCTTGCTTCCACTACGAGTTCCACTAGCTGTAAGCCTTCCTTTTTAAAATATTCCTACATGTGGTTCTGAGTTTTGGAACTCTCCCCTGAACTCACTTTGCCTGGTATTGTTACTGCACCTCCTCCCACTGTACTTTTAACACGAGGTACACATGCCATATAATCTACCCATTTAGAGTTGTACATCCATCATTTCGAGCAATTTTAAAACATTCTAATTTCTACAATACCTCTACATCGTTTAGCCATCACCTCCCATCTACCTATCCAGCACAACCCTAGGGAACTACTAATCTTTTTCTCTATAGATTTCCTATTGTGAGTATTTCATATTCAGTGTGTGGTCCTTAGTGACTGGCTCCTTTCATTTAGCACATTTTCAAAGTTCACCCATAATGTAGCATGTTATCAATACTGCACTCCTTTTTATTGCTGAGTATCATTCCATTGAATGGATATACCACGTTTAGTTTACCCACTCATTAAGTAGACATTTGAGTTGTTTCTCATTTCTGGCTATTATGGAGGGTCAGAGAAAAAGAGGAAGACCCCCAATGAGATGGATTGGCCAAGTGGCAGCATCGATGGACTCAAGCGTGACAACAGTAGTAAGGTTGGCCCAGAATTGGGCAGTATTTTGTTCTGCTGTGCTATGTATGAGTCGGTACCAACTCGATGGCACCTAACAACATGTATGTTATACTGAATCTTCGTAGATAAGATTTTGTGTGAACGTACATCTTTTATTTTTTTTGGCATGAGTGAATTACTAGGCAACATGGTAACTATGTTCTCCACATGCTCACCTATACTTGATTCCAAACTCGGTGACCCTACAGGGCAGGGTAGAACTGCCCACAGAACGTGGCAGTATTCCAAAAATTGCTGTTCTAATCTTTCTTAACTATAAAGCAATTGTATAATATGGGTTCCTAAGGCTACAAAAGGCAGGCTGTCATGGTTGTCTGGAGAAGTGGAAGAGTTTGAACTGACCTTTCTAAATAGCCGAGTGCTTAGCCACTGCAACATCAGGGTATTTTATAGTCAGTCTTATTACTGGGTGTAAACTAGTGTATCTACTGTGGACTTTATTTAATTTGCATTTTCCTGTGGGCTAATGCATCAGACTGCAAAGTCGGTTGACCTGAAACTCACCAGAGGCTCCTTGGAAACCCTATACAGGGTTGCTATGGGTTGTAATCAACTCGACAGCACTTACCAACAAAGGTATCAAGCATCTTTTCTGATGGCCATTGGCCACTTGTGTATCTTCTTTGGAGAAATAGCTATTCCTTTGACCTCTTTTTAATTTGGCTTTTTATTGAGTTTATACATTTATATAGTTTTGTATATATTCTACATGCAACTCCTTTATCAGATACATGATTTGCAAAACTGTCACACATTCTGTGGATTGTCTTTTTTTAATTTCTTGATGGTATCCTTTATATTTTTTATTTTGTGCTTAATCTAAGGTAAGAAAGATTTGTTTTCTTCTAAGGTATTTATATTTTTAACTCTTCCGTTTAGGTCCTTGATGAATTTTAAATCTTTTGTATATGTAAGGCAGTAGTCCAACATTCAATGTCTAGCACAAGTACTTTTTGAAGTTGGTTAGAAGAATCAGATTCAGTCAATTTTCAAAATGCCTGAGCAGCTCCTGTCAATTGAACATTGGAGCTAGTCAGAGCGCATTGCCTTCCCTTACGGCAAAGAGTGACTTTCTCAAGTGAGGCGGGGATTATGGGACCTATTAACGTCTTAGTGCTTCATTTCTACTTTCCTTCTCAAGTAACACAGTCAGCATATGCGTAAGTAGTAGGTTTTTAAAAAATTTCTTCTTTTAGGTCAAAGGAAAGTATGGGAACTACAAGTATGTATGGAAAATACAAGCAGAGATTCCCTTCCAAATTATGTTGACAGTAAATCTGACGTAAATGGGGCTAATGTGGACACATTTGTCTAGCTATCTGTAATGATGTTGTATCCTGCATCATATGGTTAGTAAATACAGTATCTATGTATGTATCTCTTTTATATGGATACATCACATGTGCAGTTACACTTTTAAGCTATTCTTTGGGCCCTTTTAAAAAAAATATATGTATTATATTCCATAATGCTAGTTGCTTTTGTGTTTCTAAGTTGTTTACACAAATGCAGAAACAAACTCTGAAATCAGTTGAAAACTTACACCTGGGAAATAGTGCAACAGCTTCGTCTTCCTGCTGGAATCTTTATCTCTCACGTACACACACAGGTCCTACCTACCCCCTTCTCTAACACAATAACATAAACCACAACTAATGTTTTAAGTGTACATCATACATTTATTACCAACAACCCTCTCAACTCCAAAATTGGGCACGGGGATTAAAAATAAAAATTCATTGCACTACTTAGTAAAGCATTACTAGTAACTTTCATAAAAAATGTACAAACTTTGTTAAAAATTTATCAAGCCTTCAAATGATTTGGTTACAGATATTTATAATACGTACATTTAAAACTGTGTTAACTGATACAATGGAATATGAATTGAGAAAATGACTCAGCAAATGATTCCAAAAAATACCCCTGTAAGCTTTCATAATCTGAAACAAACAGCAAAATGAGGTAACCAAATGTACCAACAGGGGGGAAACAGCTTCCTAACGAAGGCCTAAAGATATATGTGAAAAATATTCTCATAAATGAGTTGGTAGATCTCATTCAATATATTACAAGAGGTCCAAATTTTAGAATCTTAAATCATATTTCAGAGAATATATAAAATCTAAATGTGTTCACATTTTCCAGATGAAAACAAAACAAAACAGAATTCAGGACAAAAATCCTAATATGAGATCTTGATACCTGGAGGCCTTGACTTTTTGGGGGCTGGAGAGTTAGGGGGTGGGGTAAGGAGAAAAAAAAAATCAAAGTTGACAATTCATATGCAAAAGAACAAAAACAAAAACCCCACAGCAGAGATGGTAAAGCCAGTATTGTTTTAGAAGGAAAAGAGGAGGAGAGCAACAAACCCACTTACGCCTGCTATCTGATGCATCCATCACCCAATGGGAAGACGGCCAGGCACACATCGGAGTGTTCCTCTTTTGCTAGCCACAACAGTGCTTATTGTGGCTAGTCTGAGCTGGTTCAGAACACATGCATGTGTGCTCTAAATACACAATAACCACTTCAAAAGCAAGTCTGCACACATCTCTAAAAGCCCCATGCAAAGACATTCCCAAAGAGAGATCAGTCACAAGAGTGCAACAATTAAATTTAGGCTTTACCAAACAGACCCTGCTGCCTCAAAAATCGCAAACTGCCTCTCAAAAATTTACTGGAATAGGGACAAGAATTTAATTGGAGAGAGGGAAGAAAAGCTACTTTTCCTAGTCATTAGTACAATGTGCCTTGTTAAGCAGGTATCTCAATATATAAATTAGAAAAAGTGCTTTACTTGCATGCTTCAATAAAATGAATACTGAGTGTAATAGTGTTATGTTAGATCTGTACAGTTATAAATTTTTTGAAGCTATATAAAAGTCTATGTAAAGATGGGCCTTTGCCATTTTAAACATGATTTTTTTTTCTTAAAAAAAGATTAAAAACTATACGTGATTTGTATGTAGCTGATTATTATTCCAATAATTCTGATCTTCAACACACTTTTGCTTTATCAAGAAGGGGGGGTAGCCTACTGTTTTAAAAATAGCATGTGCATTTTACCACTGTTAAGATGCATTTCTGATGAACCCTATGGGCAAACACAAAAGTATGCAAAATCCTATTTGTATAACAAGATAGAGGCAACAGTGTCTGGCAAAGGGCAAAATTGTGCTTCTGTGTGAAATCGACTTTACTGAACTTTAGGCTGTGCTGAGCTTATAGAGACGTCAAGGGAGGGCAAGTAGCATGGCAGTAATGAGTAGAGTTAACACTGTCTGAAGGGAAAACCGACACAGAGCCAACTGAAAGTTGAGTGGGGCTGGCAGCAAGTTATCACAGTCCGGCCTGGAATTACGCAGCTTGTGCGATTGCAAACAAAGCAATGACATCAGAAAGAGAGGCAGACAATGCTGAACACACTAACAGAATGAGAGGAATCTAAACAGTGCTGGAAAAATGACCTTAAACAATCTTAATTCTACTCAATGAACCTATTAAAAAAAAACCACACACAGCTATGCATTATGTCAGATCAACTAAATGAAGGTCAATTCCTGTTTTCACAGCATTATTTTTTTATACAAAAATCAAATCTTCATTTATACTGCAAGTATTCTGGACACCTGTGGTATGTATTAAATTGTTCTCAAACAAAAATTTCAAGGAAAAACAATAAAGCATCAAAGCACATCAGGTGTAAGGAACACGAGTTGTCGTCACAGCCCTTGGTCCATCCTGGACACAAGGGTTCCAATGAGAAGCACGTTTACTGAGAGAAAAACAAATAGATAACTTGCAGAAGTAGAGCTTGGCAGGTGAATGAATACAACAAAGAGAACTACAGTGTTCTTAGATTAATGTGGTGGACTCTGGAAGCTTGCACAAAGAACACATTTCAGGACTCATGCTGAGTTAGTTAGCAGATGTTGTTCTGGTAGAAGTCCAAGAGGGGAGACTTCCTGGGACCAGTGGTATTCTTAGAAATATATTACTCAAATATCTTCAAAATAGACTACAAATCTAAACATTGAAAAAAAAGAAAAAAAAAAAAATCACAGGTACTTTCTGTAACAAGCTTACTGGAAATGTAAAGGAAAAATAAGAAAGTATCAACATTCAAATCATTGACTGAAATGCTAATATTGCTAATTGATGATGTATGATATTGCACCTTCTTTTTGGAAACAGCAAGTTGGAGATTTAAAATTTTCTGTTTCATAACAGAATTTTAAAAATTAGGTTCATGGAGTGAGAATCTGTTACACTTTTTTTCTTAAGTGACCCACTAAGGACCACCAATGAAGAGAAGGTGACAGTTGCCTAAAGCAAAGGAGGAAGGCTTTTCTCATTCCATTCACTGGGAGGGAAGGGAATGGAGTATTCAATGCTTATAATGGATGCACCCTTAGCAATCAGTGTGCAACAGCAAACACAAGGGGAAAAACCAGTGTACAGTACTAGTGCTGTTTAAATAACACACCAGATTATACATTGCAGCATAATTAAAACTACACACACATTCTTGGTACATGCTGGTATATAGGAGCTCATACACACATTAGCTACCATGCCCTCACACAAGTAGTTGCTCACACTTTCTCTCTCTCCCACACAGACATTTATCATCAACAAGCACACACTGCATTCATTTCCACTCACAGTTTCTGAAGGCTCTATATAAGGTAGATTGCTATATCATCTGGAGCTACCACTTTTTATAAAAGCACATGCTAAAAGATCACGTCCACTGTAATCTTGCAGCAACACTCGGAATGATCACACAAAAACCAGGGAATGTTAGTGCACACACAAAATTAAGCTAAAGAAAGTCTTTGGAGTTCCAATCACACGGTTAGTATAACAATCCCATAATTGTGAAGACTAATTGTAAGCTTTTATAGTTGATTAAGTCACACAGTGCAAAGAAAGGTCCATTGACCCTTTTGGTAAAGGGAGGGCTGGAAGCCACACAGATTAAGTTCAATGGATAGTCCGTATATACATGTGATAAGGAACACCCAAACAAAATTTGTGCTCTTAGGTTGGTCATTCTGAATCCCGATGCACTTCTGAAGCATCAGCTCGGCAAATTGGGCAAGTTCGATTTGCCTAGAAAACAAAATTAAGAGAAAAGTTATCTCAATTGTGATAACAATGGAACCTATTAAAAGTAACTTGTTTACTTCCTGTATAATTATGTTCTTTGTTCCTTTAAAGATGTATATTCATTGAATTTGTCTTTAAAAAACAAAAACCCACTCACCTCAATTAATACAGCTCATAACTACTTTTTAAAACAGTTGTTTCTGTTCCAACATATAGACAAGATTACCCACTGCCAGTTGAGACAGATTTAGTTAACTGTCTTAAAAGTAAAACCTTGGTTACTTTGAATGAAATAAAGCCACAGAAAACACCTAGTAGCAGTTAAGAAATACTGATTATAAAACAGATAATCAGGTCTGTATTGGAGGCTTTTATTCAACCTATTCCCAACCTCCTAGCCATGCTTGTTCTCCATGGCAACCAATGGCATCACCATTTGCTGAAACAAGAAAAACAAGAATTGCTGCTCTTTTAACAACCCATTTCCCACCAAATATTCTCATTTCTATATTACAGAATCTTTAAATCAATCCTTTTTCTTTTATCCAATTGCCATTATGCAGTCTCCCCTTTGGCCCAAATTGCCCTCATTTCATCTATCAGAAATTATTCTATCCATTATCGGCAGAGTGGCTAGTGACCTTTCTAAAACACAAATTCAGTCAAATCACTTTCTATTGCTTTTAGGATCAAGTTCAAACTCTTCACACTGTAGAAATATACTGGTCACATATTCCCTGAAAGCCACATGAAAGTGTGACTTTCTGATTATTTCTTGTTCTCATGCATCATATAAATGATAGACAAAGCTTGGGTACCTTTGTCTATGGTCACTCAAAAGACTAACTATATTTTAACTATTTTTTTAATCTGTCTTCCGTATTCAATTTATTAAATAATCCAGGATTATTAACTCCAAATCAGAAGGAGAAAAAAAGTTAACAAAACAGGAGAAAACTATAGAACAGAACTCAAATTCTTAAAAAGTCCAGACTGACTGGACTGGCGTAGACTAGAGGGCTCTCCTAAAATAATCAACTTTAACCAAAGCTCTTGAGGTCACCTTGTAACTCGATTATAGAAACTGCTCACAAAATCACTAACAGTGCCATGAATATTGCGCTCCCTACATAAGACCAGTGAACGATTACTTTAAATCAAAGATGAGAAGATAAGTGGGCAGGGAAACTAGATTACTGGAAATGGAACAACCTGAATCGAAGAACGAGGATGCTGACACATTATGATGTAACCAATGTTACTGAGCAATTTGTGGAGAAACTGTTAAATGGGACCTAATTTGCGGTGTACACTTTTTTTTTTTTAGGATTCAACAAAGTTCCTTAAGTTGTTTTTTCTTTTTTTAATGTTTTATTGTGAATTATATGGTAGTTTACATGAGAGAACTTTAGTTTTATATTCATTCCATCGTATATCATCTCATTGCCATGGTTCCAATCCCCTCCATGCATTATCAACCAACTAAAGGGTATAGCCTAGGGATCCACCCCACCAAGTTTTCGGCCCACAGTCCCTTTCCCTCTCTGGATCCAAAGTCCCCAGCCGCTTCATTACTCCACGTTATCGTCTCTGTATCCATCTCAGGCATCTCTGTTTCTCTGGGTAGAGTCCCGCTCTAGTCTCTTCTCCGTTGATGGTCCCAGATAGCTCCGCTCCTAGCCTGTAGAATTAATCACTCCCTTCCTTGTTACAAAATGTCTACCTTTGCATTTCCAACCCTCATAATCCATCCTGATAAGCATTATTCACTACAGTATTGCGAGTTGCCCATATGTATTTCCTTTCATCCGCTCCACCCAGACAGATTGAATAGTACCTACTGGAGATTCTGCCCTCCTCCATGCTCCCTAGCTCTAGGTTCCCTCTTGAAAGCTTGTAAGCCAGTCACTTCTTGCCTTTGTAGTGCCCCCCTCCCCATTTGAGTATCCAATGTCCAAGTTGCCCATCTCTGTCCACTCTGTGTGTGGAGAGGGTGGGAATGATTCTTGCTGTAAGGATTTGTTCCTTCTTTTGAGTTGCTGCTCCATAGGTGTAGGTCAAGTTCATCAGATTGTATCAGCTCTTTTTTTTTTTTCTCCCCTCTTCTTTCTTCTCCTGGCTGAGCTCCGATCCTCCAGTCATCCGGTCCAGGTCACGCGGGTATCATCTGCAAGTGTGGGCGCTCCTGTGCACATGCCCTCTCTTCCCGTCAGCCGGTAGCTCCACTCTCCTCTCGAGTCCTCCGTGGCCACGCCACTGACTCTGGGCCCAAGAGTCCCCAGGTCTCCTCACACTGCTTGCCATATCCAGGTCCCCAACTGGGTCCACAGAAGTCCACTGAACACTGTAAGGCTTAGCTTGCCGCTTCATTGCTTTTACCCCATTTCCCCCCATAGGTGATGTGTGCGGTCACCAATCAGAGCGTTCATTTCCGTTGAGTCTTAGACTTGGAAGGGGGTTTGTGTTGAGAGGACCTGGCCACTTGCCTTGATGTTTCCTAGGGAAGCGGTTTGTTTGTTCTTGTAGTAACAGTCCGTCTGCCTCCATTTTTCCTGTAGGTCTTTCTTTCAAGAGGCATCTTTTATTCTTCTAGCCACTCCAGGCTGGTCTGCTCGCCCTTTCAGGTGGAGATTTCTCATCTCTGGAGATCTGGATGTGGTTCCGGTTTCTACCTATAGTTTTATGTATTGCAGAGGCTCTGCAGAAAGCCTCGTTCACTGGGTCTGCTGTGGCGCGGTGTACACTTTTATAAAAAAAAAAAAAGCTAAGATATGTATCTTAGGGGCCCTAAACAGGCTGATTATGAGGCTATCAGGCACAGGGAACCAGAAATGATACCTCAGATTGCGATGCAGTTGTTGTTGTTAGGTGCCATCGAGTTGGTACCGACCCATAGCGACCTTATCCACAGCAGAATGAAACACTGCCTGATCCTGGGCCAACCTCACTACTATTGCCATGCTTGAGCCCATCTATGCTGCCACTTTGCCAATCCATCTCGCTGGGGTTCTTCTTTTTCTCTGACCCTCCACCTTACCAAACATGATATCCTTCTCCAGTGACTGGTCCCTCCTGACAATATGTCTGAAGTATGAGAGATGAAGTTTGGCCATCTTGGCCTCTAAGGAGCACTCTGGTTGCACTTCTTCCAAAACAGATCTATTGGTTCTTTTGGCAGCCCACGGCACTTTCAATATTCTCCTCTAACACCATAACTCAAAAGCATCAATTCTTCTATTGGAATGTGATAGGACAGTGCTAATGTCCAATAGATTACATTCGTAGTTGACAGTTCACAGGCAAATACAATAGGGAATTCCATTCTTTCACAAAATCCTATTTAAGTTTTTATTCTATTAGTCTAAAAAAATGCAGTTTTTGTTTTAATGTGGACAGCTTCAATGCATCAATCAAATAAAAGTAATTTACTGACAAAATGACTTATTTTACTACATCACATTTTTATTTTGCTATTATAATTAAAGAATATTAAAGTATGAACAGTTAAACAACATAAATAGCCCTTTAAATAATTTCACCCTAACATAATCATGGTTAAATTTGTGCCATTGGGTGTTTTTCATACACTCAAAACCCGATGATGTGTGATATCACTGAGTTAAATACAAACCTTACACGTTCACACACCATGCAGACCTCTCACTAAGGAGTTCCAGTGAGGTTCCCTTGTCAATTCGTAAGGAAACTGTGGCCTGACAAGTTCTGCCCTTGTCTCTAATACCACAAGACAGTTAGGGCATAGTCACTATTAAGTAAAGACAATGCATATTTTGGTTTTGCATTTTGTTAACTCTAGTGAATTTTTAATGGTATTTTCCTTTCATTAGCTTTCATACTGCAAGCTGTATTTAATTCTGCCTTTTCTCCCCACCCTCTACCAAACCATGGATGTTAAGGGAAGCTTACTCTATACTGACCCTATGATCAGTAAAAAGGGAAAACAGACAAGTTACGGTGTCATTTCCTTCACAAAACCACACTTTACCTTCAGCCATTTGTCGACACACTTGGCATGGAACTCGTGGTTACAGGGTAAGACTCTAAGTAGCTGCCTTGACTCAAAATCACACATGCACACTACACACCTAAAAAAAGCAAAAACATCATTTAACCATAAATCTGGTTGTTTTTCTATTTTGTTAGTGCTACTAAAGCCTACAAAATCATTTATTGTGGCACTGATTAAAATACCAAAAAACTATCATGGAATATTATACAATTTGTGTTCAGTAACTGCAGTAATACTTTGTTGTATTCAAAGATTATTTTTAAAAAATGCTGATTTAATATTCACATTAGCCTTACTACAGAAAATGCTAACATATTCTATATAGTATCATTCTAACATATGGTGGTCGAACAACTGGATATCCATGCCAGAGAAAACACTGTTCCCTCACACCATATAAAAAACTGAAAATGGGTCAAGGGCTGAAATGTTCAGAACCAAACTATTAAACTCTCAGAAGAAAATATAGATATAAAAACCTCATGATTTGGACTGTTGTTAAAAGTGCTGTTGAGTTGGTTCTGACTCATAACAACCGTGTATAGTGTTTCCAAGGAGTGGATGGTGGGGTTGAATCACCAACCTTGTGGTTAGCAGTTCAGTGCTTATCCTACAACAGTGCCACACAAGGACTCTATGACCTTGGATTAGGTAATTGCATATATAAAAGAAAACCCCAAAAGCACAAGCAACAACAAAATCACATAAACTGTCCTTCAATAAAATTAAAAACCTACGTCCTTCAAAAGATACCAGTCAAACTGAAAAGACAACTTACAGAATGGGAGACAGTTGTGGAAATCTTATCTTTCTAATAAGGGACTTATATCGAGACTACACAAAGAACTATTACAAGTCAATAAAAAGACAAATTGTCAAATTAAAAATTAAATACAGGATCTGAAGACACTTCTCTCCACAGGAGATACACAAATAGCCAACAAGTACATGAAAAGATACTCAAAACAATTAGTCACTTGGTTGACTATGTCCGGTGGAGTCGGTTTCGACTCATCGCGACCCTGTACAGGGTTTCCAAAGCTGTTAAATCTTTACGGGAGCAGAAAGCCTCATCTTTTTCCCACGGAACAGCTGGTAGTTTCGAACTGCTAACCTAGTGGTTGCTAGGGAAATACATATTACAACTACAATGAAATGCCACACTATACACCACCTAGGATGGCTTGAATTTAAAAAAAAAGGAAGATAATATTGGTGAGGATGTGGCAAAATTGGAAGTCTCAGAAAGTGCTGGTGGGAATGTAAAATGGTGTTGTGTCTGAGACACATATTAGCAGTTCTCATTAAGTTAAAACAGAGAATTACCATATGGCCTTATTAGCCTATCCCTGTTTATACACCCCCCAAAAAACTGAAGACAGGCCTTCGAACACAAACTTGTACATGCATGTTCACTACAGCCAAAAGATGGAAACAACCCAAATGCCTATCAACTGATGAATGCTTTAATAAGATGTGCTATATCCAAACAGTGATACATTATTTGATAATGAAAAGAAATTAAGTACTGATATGTGCTACAACATGGGAAAATCTTGGAGAAACATTATGTTAAGTGGAGTTAGTCACAGAAGAGTATATAATAGCTGAATTCATTTTTACAAAATGTTCACAACAAGGCAAACTATAGAGTCTACAAGAGATTAATAGCTGCCTAGGGTTGTTACCAGCTGCTCCTTGGAAACCCTACACACGGTCGTTATGAGTTGCAATCAATTCAAAAGGCACTTAACAACAACAGGGTTGGTAGAAATGGAGCATCGTAGTTAACAGCTATAGGGTTTCTTTCTTGAGGTTTTTAATAAAAATGGCTTAATTTCATTGGTTACATGACTCCATGAGCATACTAAAAAAACTACTGGATTATATACTATAAAGCTTTTATAAATAAAAACATGATAAAAGAAAATCTTCAGGTGAAAGCACTAAAATTTCTGTGCTTTGAAATTTTTCAAATTTTGTATTAAAACATTCTAAAGTTTAAATCACAAACTAGAAAATAACTTGTGTACTCTAAAAATCCAGGACTGTCTGAGATAATAAATGTTCTACATCTACACCTTCCAATGCAAGGGGTTTTAAAAGTCGGTGGAAATATGGAATTGAGAATAGAGTATTTTTATGAACTTTTTGAAGACTCATATGGCAGCTATCACTGTGACTAAGAAACTTTATTTTTAATTGAATTTTATTTCAATTTAAATATACACTTGTGATTAGCGGTTCCCTTATTGGAGAGCGTTGTTGTTGTTATGTGCCATGGAGTCGGTTCCAACTCATAGTGACCCTGTGTAGGGTTTCTGAGGCTGTAAATCTTTATGGGTGCAAAAAGCCTTATCTTTCTCCCATGGAGCCGCTGGTAGTTTCGAACTGCTGACCGTGAGACTAGCAGCCTGATTCGTAACCACTACGCTGCCAAAGCATAGGCTAAGGTACATTTATGCTTTTCTGGAGAGTATTTATGTTTATTTAGTTATCTTTGACTCTCAAAAGCTTCCATTTTATACAAGTAGAAAAGGAATTATTAACACAGAGTGATGGCAAAAGAGATATACTTACAAAGTCTGTTCTGACTGGTGGTTGTTAGGATTGAACCGGTAAGAAGGAAGTTGTTCAATATCTGCTTTAGTAAGTCCTCGAGGCTTAGCCTCTCCCAGTCGCTCTGCCAGGTTTAGCAGGGCCTGCAGAGGGAAGAGATAACATTTTCATCTTTTAATAATTTTTCTAACTAAAAATAATTTAAACTCTTCATTATGGAAAAGTTTAAATACATAAAAAGAAATTTATATACTAAAGAAGACAGTGTAATGAACCCATTCATAGCTAATCTTACTTCATTTATTACTGCCTGCTCCTTAAATTCCAGGTTATTGGTATTTTTTCATTGGCAAAATAGTTCTAAGTATCTGTAAAACAGAGTTTGTCAACTGTGGCACTCTTGGGTTGGGTAATTCTTTGTTGGGGTAGGTTGCAATCCTGTGCACTGTAGGATGTTTAACAAAATCTCAAGCTTTAACATAAAAAAAGAAGCAGATCAGCAAAAAATGATGGAGTCAGAGAACGACAATAGGAGGAATGCAAGAGTAAAAGGCAACAGAGACACTGTTATATACACAATCTTAAAATAATAGTTATCTACGAGTGGTTTCATGGTCAGACATGCAGGATGAATGGGTGTGGGAGAAAGTGGGATCATGCCCATGAACATACAAAGGGGCTTCAAAAAATTGTGCAAAAATTCCATTATTTTTAAAATTCTACATATTTCCCTAGGTGGAAAACAAATTTATGAATGTAATGGAGCATATGGGAGCAAAGTTATAAAAACTTTTTAGACATAACCTAACACAACTTGAGGGAATGAGTTGCTAGGCCGGGAAGCTTAGTATTAGTCTTGGGAGATACCAAGGTCAACTGGCACAGTATGGTCCATGAAGACAATTTGTTCTACAACTTTGGCAAGTAGTGACTGGGTCTGAAAAGCTTACGAGCGGCCACCTAAGATGCAACTACTGGTCTCTCCACATTTGGAGCAAAGAAGAGTGAAGAAAATCAAAGATGCATGGAATAATTAGCCCAATGGACTAATAATGGACCACATGAACAATTATCTTCTTGAGACCAGAATAAATTAGATGGTGCTTAGCTCTGAAAGGGATTACATTAGAAGGTCCAGGATAGAGTAGGAGAAAAATGTACACCAAGACTCAAAATCATGAAAAGAACAGGGTTGGACAGAGACTGATGGAACACTAGTTACCCTTCAGGTCTGGAAATGAACTCACCCCCATGGCTTAACACTAGGGAGGTACCCACACCTTAGAAAAATCAACCATCTGAGATCAAAAGGGTAGCATTTAAACCAGGAAAAATTTCAGAAGAGTTCAGAGAGAAGCAATGAAATGGGAAATGTGGGGAAGAAGGGAGAGAAGTAATGTTACGTTGTGGGGAACAGAATCAGTGACATGAAACAAAACATGTATGAATTATAGTCAATGGAAAACTGGTTTGTTCTAGAAACCTTCACCAATTCACAATAAAAAGTGTTTTTTGTTTCTGAAAAGAAACCCCTCACTTATAACTCACTAGATGCCAGTGGTAACCAACAAAATGACTCCATACATTGCTAAACATTCCCAATGGAGTAGGATGGGGAACTACTGCCCCAGGGTTAAGAATCAATGTTCTAAGAGATAAAGGCTTTATATAAAAACAAACAAACAAAAAAACCAACCATAATGATATCATTGTACCTAAAAAATTAATAATTTCTTAAAACATCAAATATCAGTGTTCAAATCCCCCTGACTGTCCCAATTATTTAAAGAAGACATGCTTGATATATCTCATATCTCTGTTTTCTGTTTATATTTGCTGAAGAAACCAGGCCAATCAATGACTTACAGAATTTCTTGTAGTCTGATTTTTGCTGACTAAGCACCCCATCCCTTGACCTTTATGTAGCTAACATGTTCCACTGTCATCTGTCTTTCCTATAAACAGGTACATCATGTCTAGTTGGCTTTGTATTTGTGATGTCAACGGTCACTGATGACCACTGCCTCGGCCTAGATCCACTCTTTCTTCATTTATTAGCTAAAATCCTTCTATATTAGCAAGTACCCCATACCAAACTTTACTTAGTAGTACCAGTTTACAAAGAAAAGGCAGAATAAACAAACGCTGTGGATTTTTTTTCTTTTCTGAAGTATCACTATGAACTCAGATTTTCACTTACTTGATGTGTTTCTGTACACTGCAGTTCTTACACCACACCGCTACCCTCCTGCTCTCACTTTTCAATGACTTTAATTATTCATTTGCTTTATCTTTCTATTGTTGTTGTTAAGTGCTACTGAGTCGGTTCTGACTCACAGCAACCCCGCATAGGGTTTCTGAGGAGCGAATGGTGGGTCTGAACAGCTGACCTTGTGTTTCAGTGCTTCATCCTATAGTGTCATACCAGGACTCCATCCTACTATTGTTGTTGTGAAGTGCCATCAGGTCAGTTTCAACTCACAGCAACCCTGTATAGGGTTTTCAAGACGCTGCTGGTGAGCTTGAGCCACCAACTTATGGTTCAAACTGACCTTGCAGTCCCACACAGTCCTACTGTTAGGCTGCCATTTATGCATAGCATTTCCTCTATACTCAGGCTGCCACAGGATTAAGACAATGGGTAATATAGAAAACTTGATGAGTAATGGAGGAACAGAGTTAACATCCCATCATCTCAATGATTACGGAGTCCTGGTAGTATAGTGGTTATGCATTGGGCTGCAAATCGAAAGGTCAGCAGTTTGAATCTACTAGTTGCTCCATGGGAGAAAGATGAAGTTTTCTACTCCCGTAAGGACTGACAGCCTCGAAACTATACAGGGGTCGCTAGGAGTCAGAACCCACTTCACGGCATACCACCACCAACCTCAATAATGAATGCTGTGATAGCTGTATGCATGCTTTAATATAACATTACAACTCTGCTTTGGGGACAGCATTATTTTCAGAACTGGGTATTCTAAATGAATTGCTTTCCCCTTTACTGCACTTCCCCAACCTCCTAAATGTTTTAATTTGTTGTTGTTTTAAAGTGCAGATGAGTCTGTTCCGACCTACTGTGACCTTGCATAGGATTTCCTAGGAGGGAATGATGAGCTTTATCAGCCTTAATATTATGTCTGCTTTATCATTAATACTATTCATCCTGTAAGGATAGCGGTTCAAGCTCACCAGCTGCTCCTTGGAAACCCTATACAGGGTCGCTAAGGGTCGGAACTGACTCGATGGCACTTCACAATAACAACGATCTTAATTTTCCCTTCACCAGCATTCTCTCACATGACTTGTATTGTAGGTGACTCTAATAGAGCAAAAAAGTCTACCTTGTTATGGCTGTAACTATTTGTAAAGGTGCCAAACACTTTAAATGACATTTTTGTTTCTTAAAATACACAAAGTGACTACCGGGGCATAGTAAGCAAATAAACTGATTTGACCCCCTGCAACAAACATATGGGAGACTGAGTGAAACAGATACAGATGGTGATCCCGAAACCCTGAGCTTCAGATGAGAAGACAGAAAGATGGGCTGAGTACTGACTCTAAGAGGAAGCTGAACAGGAGCATTGAGAGAGAAAAAAAATTGGCTGGGGGAAGCCATCTTGGACTTTTGCCACCGGCTATTGATATAGTGGCCTGCAGGCATGGAACACGGTTGAAGGTTGACAGCAAGAGGGTACAGTTCTCCCCTGTTCCCATGTCCTCTTGGTAGCCAGTGACACGGCCAGTCTCTGCAATAGCCAACCCAGTGGCTAGTGGTGCCCCCTCCTAGGAAGCTTTTGCTCTGGCTGGGGTCAGGCACCAGGCATAGTATAGAGGGGTGTTCACACTACACAGTGAACAGAGAGCTGTGTTCACACTTCTAGTCGCTAACATATCCACCAGGTGGCGAGTGCCCAAGACCACACCAATATACAATCATCAATTAAATATAAATACAACACCACACTGTCTCAGAAAAAAACAGATAATTCCAGCTTACACGATGAAATGGAGTGCCTCAAACCAGTAACCAAAATACAGTAGAAAATACAGTATTAGAATGGAATCAGCACTATCTGCAAAGGAAGAGAAAGAATGCTATTTAGGCAACTTCAACACACTGAAAGAATGATTGAGAAAACTGCAAATGAAATACAGGAAAATACGGACAGAAAAATCCATATTTGTGCCCATTCCAAAGAGAGATGACCTAACAGAATGCGGAAATCATCGGACATTATCTTTGATGTCCCATGTGAGTAAAGTTTTACTAAACGTAATACAGAAACGGCTGCAAGCATACATTGAGAGAACTTCCAGAGGTTCAAGCCAGATTCAGAAGAAGCCGTGGAACGAGGGAGATCATTGCTGATATCTGATGGATCTTGGCTGAAAACAGAGAATATCAGAAAGATGTTCACCTGTGCTTTACTGACTATGCAAAGGTTTTCGATTATGTGGATCATGACCCATGCGCTATGGACAACACTGCGAAATACGAGTACTCTGGTACATTTAATTGTGCTCATGAGGAATCCGTACATGGACCAAGAGGAAGTTGTTCGAACAGAACATGGGAACAATGAATAGTTTCAAATTAAGAAAGGTGTGAGACAGGGTTGTATTCCTTTACCATACTTATTCAACCTGTAGCTGAGCAAATAATCCAAGAAGCTGGGTTCTATGAAGAAAAAGGCAGCATCAGGATTAGAGGAAGACTCATTAATAACCTGAGATATGCAGATGAAATTGCCTGAGATTGCCTGCTGAAAGTGAAGAGGACTGAAAATAATGATGAAGATCAAAGACCACAGCCTTCGTATGGATTACATCTCAATGTAAAGAAAACAAACATGCTCACCACTGGACCAATAAACAATATTCGTATCAACGGAGAAAAGATTGAAGCTGTCAAGGACTTCATTCTTCTTGGATCAACTATCAACACTCACGGAAGCAGCAGTCAAGAAATCAAACGGCACATTGCATTAGGCAAATCTGCTGCACAAGACCTTTTTAAGTGCTGAAGAGCAAAGATGTCAGCTTGAGGACTAAGGTGCGCCTGACCCAAGCCATGGTATTTTCAATAACCATATGTATGCAAAAGCTGAACAGTGAATAAGAAGACTGTAGAAGAATTGATGCATTTGAGTTATGGTGTTGGAGGAGAATACTGAAAGTGCTATGGGCTGTCCAGAGAACAAACAGATCTGTGTTGGAAGAAATGCAGCCAGAGTGCTCCTTGGAGGCCAGGATAGCCAAACTTTGTCTCTCATACTTCAGACATTGTCAAGGGGGATTAGTCGCTGGAGGTTATCATGTTTGATAAGGTGGAGGGTCAGAGTAAAAGAGGAAGATCCCCAGTAAGATGGACTGGCAAAGTGGCAACATCAATGGGCTCAAGCGTGGCAACAATTGTGAGGTTGGCTTAGGACCAGGCAGTGCTTCATTCTGTTGTGCAGAGGGTTGCTGTGAGTCAGCACCTACTCAACACAGAAGAATTCAGGAAACAAAACTGACTATACAAAAGAGAGAAAAAAAGGAAGCTATATAAAAATAGCAATCCAAAAGCCATAAGATACTAATACTTCAGAAATAGACAATACACTGAAAAGGCAAAGAAGTAGAACTGAATCAATGGAAGGCTGAATTACTGAGCTTGAAGAAAAGATCTCTGAATATTCATCTGTTAGAGGAACAATAAGAAAAGAACAAAAATATCCAAAAAAGCTTAAGATTTATGTGGGAACATTATCAAGAGGATTAATTTACAAGTGACAGGAATTCTAAAATAGGAAGAGACTAAATAATTAAATAACCCTAGAGAATAGTGTCCAAAGAAACTTCCTTAGCATCATGGAAGATGAGTAGACAGCCATTCAAGAACTGGAAAGAATTCCAAACTAGACCCTAAAAAGAAAAACACCAATACATATAATGAAACTTTTTAAAACCAAAATAAGGAAAGAAAAATGAAAAGTAAACCTAGCAATGGGACACTATTAGACTTAGCTCTAATTTCACAGCAGAAACCATGCATGCAGGCAAGAAGATAATGGAATGACATCTATTGGAAAGAAAAAAAAAAAAAAAAAAAGGTCAACTAAGAATCACATATCCAAAGAAATTGTTCATCAAATATGACAGTGAAATTAAGCCATTTTCAAAAAAACAGAAATGTAAAGAATTTACAAAAACCAGATAAACTTTACAAAAATTACTAAAGGGAGTTCTTTGGACAGAGAACCAACATCAGCAACAACCACTAGAGTCTGGCATATAGGGCAATATTACCTCGACTCAACCCAAATATAGAAGTGAAGTACAACAGACATAGACCGAAAACAAAGAACCAGAGATAGAGTTTCAGCAAAAAATATCCCCATAAAGTATAAGAGAGAATAGTATAGTTACAAAACTTGCAAATGAAGAGGACAGGTAGAGTTCAAGAATAAATAAATATACACCTAACTTTTAACTCCATAAACTAGATCAAGCCTTACTTCAAGCCATAACCTAACTCTTACCCATAATACTAACTCCTGAAAAAAGCAACAAAACACTTCAAAGTATTTGCCTTATGTTTGATTAGATGAATCAGTTGAGTAGGACAATACTTTTTATGTACATTAATACTCTCAAAATTAATTCATAGATTCATTTACTAACCTCGTAATTTTCTACTTCTCCATCTTCCACATCCAATTCAAAGCTAAAAGTTGGGCCCACTGCAGGTGGCACTGGAAGCATTGATCTACAGTGAAAACAACCAATACTAGCATTGACAGTTTAGTACGTTACTTCAATCAACACAACATTTTCAGAATAAGGTGGAGAACTTAAGCTATCTGATGTTAAGACTTACAATAAAACAGTATGCGATACGCACATGGCTCTCTGACATAAAAACGACATTACCTAGCCTTCCTAGCAAGTAGTTTGACTAAATTTGGGCTAATGGAATGGAAACAGGAATGATACGTGCAATTTCTGGGAAGTATCCCTGGTATGGCGCTTCTGGATAATGCACTGGACTGCAAGATCAGTTTGAACTGCAAGGTAGGCAGTTCAAACCCACCAGCTGCTCCCCATAAATCCTATGCAGGGTCACTATGGGTCAGAACCAATTCGGTGGCAGTTAACAACAACAAACAATTCTTGGAGAGAGCCGGTTTGGCAGAGAAATGTAGACATGATGGCTCCAGTCTGACATGTGCTGAAAGTCATAAAATCTGAGGATGGAAGGCCATTCCTCAGAGTCATGGGGCTAATTTTCCTTGAATTGCCTACTTTTCATGGAAGAAAAAGAAAGCAGCATCACTTTGATCTGTTTGGTGTATCTGTTGCAGACGAACTTAATTCTAACAGGATAGTTCTAAGACACAGAAACCAATTCTGTTTCCTCTGAGAGAACCAACAATCTCAAAGCTGGGTAACCAAAGGGAGGAGTATCAAGTGATACCAGTTATAAAGACTTATATAAAAAAATCTTAACCATCTTCTTTCCTCTTCTTGACTTGTTAAATCTATTTTTTGGTTCACAAATTTCTTCCTTCCCATGCCTCCCAAGTTTTTGTTCTCCCCTATCTTTCACTCTTAACTGGCTCCCCAATTTCAATCCCTTGAAAGCATTAAGTAAAGCCATACACATCTAAAACACCCTCACATAAGTTATATACTACACAGAAAACATTCATAAAGGAAAGAGAATCCCACACAATTAAAAAAAATCAGAACCCATTAAAATAAGAAAGAACTTACAGCACATATGGTAGTAGGCTGGGATGATACGGGGGAGGTGGTATTGGCTGCTGAGTTCTGTATCTACTACGTCCTGTGAGCCTCCGAGGCATAAATGGAGGATAAGGCTATGGGGGGAAAAAGTTTAAAATGATTTAATATTTTACATTTACAACTAATTAATCTGTCCAACAAAGCCACTTGTTTTTAAAAGGAATCTAGAAAATGGTTTAGTATTTAAGTGTTAATCAGTATCAGTATTTTTCATGTTAACATTAGAAATGCAATAACCAGTTTAAGCACACACTTTGGTATACAAGTGAGCTTCAAAAATTCATGTCAAAATGGAATTAGAAGATAAATGGAATTTGCTGATACTTTTGAAGCCTTCTTGTATTTCTAGATATAATTTTCCAACTAAGTAATTTTATCAAAGTATCTAAAACTCTAATCCTGTTGAGAACAATTAATAAAACAAAGCATTAAACACTCACTACTCCAAAGGACACCTCCTGATGCAAAGGATCATGTGTCAGAAACTGCAAAGGAGCTGATGGAGGTAACGTTGGGGGATGGGCTGACGGGGGGTAAGTAAAACCTCCTACTGGAAGATGTTCTCCTAAGAGTTCTACTTCATTTTCTATCCTTTGCAGAGGCTAAAGTGGGGAGAAGGAAAAGGCAAAATATTATCCTTCTATTGTTTAGGTAGGCTATACTGTTTAATAATTCAACAACAAATAGAAAAACGCCAAACCATCTTTAAGACCATTTATCTCTTGACATTACATCAATATGAAATCATACAAGTTGACATATTAACTATAGTAAAATCTTACCTTTAACTTAATTTTATTAAGACTTTTCAAAACATGTTATTAGATACTCCCACTATTCATTATTTGAACTTTGTCTCATTTTAAGAGGCAAACACAATTGTCTAGTAAACCAATCATATGCAGTTACAATGACTTTTTATTCATAGTACCCTGACCCACCCATATGATTTTCAGATAAACAGCCATTATCAGAAATAGATCATGGAGTGTATTTATAAATCAGAACCAGGACTAAATTGGCTAAGATATAGAAGGCATTATGTGGTCACAGAAATCAGGGCTTTAGTAGTAGAGAGATACCCACTAATCAGCCACATGACTTTTAGATAAATTATTTAATCTTAGTCTCAGGACTGTCATCTATCTGTAACACCAAACAAGATGTTTATGTTGTTGTTGTTGCTCAGTGTCACTGAGTTGGTTCTGACTCATAGCAACCCTGTATAGGGTTTCTTAGGAGCAGCTGGCGAGTTTGAACTGCCAACCTTGTGGTTCAAACCGACCTTGCTTACAGTCCAGTGCTTTATCCTACAGTGCCACAGCAGGACTTCCACAAAGATTACTTACAAATATCCATTGTTAGTCACTACCATTTCCTACATTACCCTCCCACCTCAGATCCTGATAAGCACAAATCTACTCAGTTTCTCTGAATTTCCCTGTTCTGAACATTAAAAAAAAAAAAATAATAAAAATCATACAACATGTGGCCTTTAGTGACTAGTTTTTTTCACTTAGGATAATGTTTCAAGTTCATTTTCACTGCTAACGTTTTTATGGTTCAATAATATTTCATTGTACAGATAAAACACCTTACTTGTTTACTCATTATCAGCTAATAAACATTTGGATTGTTTCTACTTTTTGCCTGTTAAGAATAATGCTTCTGGTTCTGAAACATGGCAGACGACGTGAACCAACAACCAACTACCAACACGGCCGAGAAGTCTCTCAGGATCTTATCACGCTCAGCCTGGATGAACATATTTATGTGAAAATGCAAAATGACCAAGAGCTTTTAAGGAATATTACATGCTTATGATCAACATTTAAATACGATATTGGGAGGTGTGCAAGAAACTGTGACTATTAACAGAAATTGATCCAGAAACATGAAGAGCTCTATAAAACAACAAAATGGAAAACTCCAATGCTCTTTGTTCAGGGAGATGGTGTTGTACTGGGTGCCCTTCCATTGAGAGGTGACTGGAACAAAGAATGTGTCCTATGTGGAAAAGAAGAGACTTATACAATTGCTTCTTTAAGATATAATACATTTAACAAGAGACACTTGTGTGAAATTTGGTATTTAGAAATGACCAAGGATTCTTCCACTCCTGAAATGAATTGATTTGCAGATAACGAGCAAGCTCATAGGTTAATTTTCTCCAGCCCTTTCAATAAATGTAATCACAAAAATAAACAACTCTTTTTTGGGGGGAGAAAAAAAAAAAAAAGATAGGGCTGCTATGCACATCTGTGCACACATCTTTGTGTGGACATGTTTTTAATTCTCTGGAAAATATGTTCTTAGTGTAATTCTGGCTTCTTTCCTCAGGTAAGCTTACTTTGGCTGGTACTCCCTAAGGCACATAAATCTGTGCTATGACAGAATGTCAAATTATTTTATAGGGCTGCAATCTTCCACTATACCAACTTTCATTTTATCTATCTCCTTCTGTTCCTGATGGTTCAGAAGCTAAACTTGGCCTGTCCGAAAAAAATAACTGAATCTTCTTCTTGTGCAAAGATGTATACAGTACCTATCATCCCAACCCATAGTAATACACCTCTTAGCTATATTCCAACCCCATAAGAGAACTATGTTAATAACTATCTCACCTGTTTTCAGAAGAACACTTCAGAAAAACAAGCCTACTCTTACCTTCCAAAAATGACAAATTACACTCAAGGTTATGTAGATAGCTTAAAATATGGTAAACAGTACATAGGCTGCAGTGGTGTGTGTTAATACATGAATACAAGTGTTCAATGAACTTAAATGAATCTTAAGCATTTAATTAGTACTAATGATTTTATAGTATCTCTAACTTTCCAATTTAGAAATATATAAAAGGAAAAACCAGTACAACTAAATTAGAATTTATTTTCAGATTTCCTTTCTTTCCTAGGATTCAAATATGAAGCAGGACAAATTTAACTTGACACATAAAATTACTAGAAAAATGTAAAATTATTTAAGAATGTCTCTATTAGTCTGTATGTTTGTGAATTCCTTTGATTCTTACAAGAATCAAAATTAGTGTTTAAATGCCAATAGTGTACATTTGCTACATTATTCTGCTTTTTAAGAAAATCAAAGACATACGATAAAGATACCTACCGATCGTGACTGCTGTGTCTGGAAAGGAACAAACTGGCCTGGTGGTGGCAGATGAGGAGGGTGGTGTGGAGAAAGGTGAGGAGGATGTAAAAGAAACGGATCACTAGAAATAAGGGGTGGGAACGCAGCATACGGTACTGGTAAGTGCTGAACTGAACATGCCTGAAGCATCTGTAAAAAATAGTTATTTTTTATTAAAATTATAAGAATATACAATTTTAAAAATAAGATAGTGAGATTGAAATGTTATTTCCATACCTCCCCCTCAAATCATACCAAAATGTTTCTCATATATTAGCAATGAAATACAAGTATTTACATCCACAATGAAAGTACTAGTAACTAGTAGTTCCAACACCTGTCAGTTTGTCCTAACATGGTATGGCCTGTGTGTTGCTGTGATGCTGGAAGCTATGCCACCAGCATTTCAAATACCAGCAGAGTAACCAATGGTAGCAGGTCTCAGCAGAGCTTTCCTACTAAGACAGACCAGGAAAAATGATCAGGCGATCTACTTCTGGGAATTAGCCAAGAAAACATAACACTGTCCAACTCCCTTTGGAAATGTTATCACTGTTAGAAGAGGTCATCATGTTTGGTGAAGTTAAGGGTCAACAAGGGTGTCAGAGACCTCAGTGAAATGGACTGGCAGAGCAGCTATAATGATGGACCTGAATATGCTGGTGCTAGTAAGTATCAACTTGTCTGGGCTATGATTTGTAGTGGTTTGGCAGTTATGTAATTATGTAACACCCCTCCTCCCCCAACTCCATGATGTAATACGATGGGATCAGCCCATCAGTTTTAAGGGGATTAGGCTGAGATGCAATATATTTTACTCAAGTCACTGTCCTGATTCAATATAAAGGGAATTTCTCTGGGATGTGATCTCCAACTGCTTTTATCTCACAAGAAATAAAAGGAGAGAGAACCAGTAGAGAGAGAGGGACTTGACTACCATCAAAAAGAAGAGCCAAGAGTAGAGCACATTCTTTGGACCCAGGGTCCTTGTGCTTCTCAGCAAGGTCTCTTAGACCTCGGGGAAGATTGATGTCAAGACACATGGCGGTCTCCAAGGGACATAAGGCCCACAGATGTTGAAAGGTGACCAAGAGTCAAAAGAAAGAGAAAACCTTCCTTTAAAGTTGATGCGCTAGATTTGGAATTCTAGCCTCCTACCTGGTGAAAGAATAAATTTATTTGTTAAAGCCATGCACTTGTGGTATTTCTGTTCTAACAGCATTAGATAAACCAAGACAGTACAGGAACAGGCAGCATTTCCTTCTGTTATACAAAAAGTCACCATGGGACAGAGTAGACTGGACAGCAGCTAACAAAAACATTGACTATTTTACATGCTGCTGCATGCCATCTAGTCAGTTCTGACTAATAGCAACCCTGCATAGGGTTTATGAGGCTGTAAATCTTTACAGACAGAAGTAGAAAGCCTAATTTTTCTCCTGCAGAACAACTGGTGGATTCAAACTGTTGACCTTATGCTTACAGCCCAACCTGAACCCACTGTTTTACTGGGGTCCTGAATTTTATATAGTTCTTACATATCAGTCAAAATACTTAGCTTTAACTTCAGTCTCTAAAACATCCATAAATAAGGAAAAAGTGCTGGCTAGTTAACAATCTCACCTTTACTTGGTTTAAAACATTGCAGATACTATTGCTATTCCAAGAAAGTTATCCTTTTCCATCTTGTAGAATTTTTTTATTTCTAATATTTTTATAATTTTAAGAGTCCAACTAACAACTGCCCTATGAGCTCTCAACATTTTTAGTTGGTAACTTCAGCACATTGGTTGTATAATCTACTAACGAAAAACCAAGCTAGGATAAATTAATCTATTAAACTGGTATTGGTACTTTTATGTGTGTGTCTCAACTCTAAAACAGAATATTGTTGTTGTTGGTGTTATGTGCCGTGGAGTCGGTTCTGACTCATGGCAACCCTGTACAGGGTTTCCAAGGCTGTAAATCTTTATGGGAGCAGAAAAGCCTCATCTTTCTCCCACTGAACAGCTGGTAGTTTCGAACTGCTGACCGTGGGATTAGCAACCTAATTCGTAACCACTATGCTACCAGAGAACAGAATACTAAGGCTATATAAAATATTAGGTGAATGTTTTACTTTGAAGATACCAACCTTCGATAAGTCATTTAAATCCTGTGGATTAGTGCCCTCATTTATGAAAATTGGGAGTTGATTTGGGGGTTAGCCAATAAAGGACATAGTATAAAGTTCGTAGGTAAAAAGAAGCGGAAGTGACTCATTGTTGTCCCAAGTAATTATCTCTAAGATCTTCAGTTTCATCATTTATAAAATGTGGGTACAGTTTCATCACAGGTTTCTTATAGTAAGGTATAAATTAGGGCAAGTACAAAAAATGCCTGTTAAAACTATTAAGTTTTACTTGATGTTGTTACTACTGGAGACTTTAATACTAACTAGTCCAACATTCAATGTTAATACTCCAAAGACATCCTTTACCAAACATTATTAACAGGGTTGATACATGAGGGACCATGGAGTGGTCCTCAATATAAAAAAAGTGTCTGTCAAGTTAACTTCAGCTCATGGTGATACCAGTGTCAGATGAGAACTTCACATGGTTTTCAAGGTCTGACTTTTCAGAGGTAGATTGCCACCCTTTCTTCCAAGATGCCTTTAGGTAGACACAAAATTTCAGCCTTTAGATTTAGTCAAACATGTTAACTGTTTGCACCACCCAGGGCGCCTCCTTCATGTTTTTAAAGTTACTATAAAGATGCTACTGAGATTTCTGTTGCAATAGGTTTTTGTTGTTAAATGCTATCAAGTTGGCTCCAACTCACAGGAAACCTGTATAGGGTTTCTGAGGAACAGTTGGTGGGTATGCACTGCTGACCATATGATTAGCAGTCCAGAGCTTATCTTACATTGCCACACTAGGACTTCAATATAAGATGCTGTTATTGTTAAGTGCCATTGAGTCAGTTCTCACTCATAGTGACCCTGTATAGAGTTTCTGAGGAGCAGCTGATGTGTTTGAATTGCCAATGCTGCGGTTCAAACCGACCTTGAGGTCGAGTGCTTATCCTTTGGTGCCACACTAGGACTCCATATAAAACATTTGTTGTTGTTTTTAAGTGTTGTCGAGTTGGTTCCGACCCATGGATTTGATATTTATATTATAAAACAAATCCAGGTTGATGTGCTAACAGTAAAATCTATGAAAAAGAAAGCTCACACTTACTGGAGGAGGCACACTACAGACAGGGAGGTGCTGTCCACTGAAAACCACAGAGCATCCTGGGACCTGTTGTGCACTGCAAGCAGGGATGTGCTGGCCTGTGCAGAGTGGAATCCCATGTGGTGCCACTGTTGTTACTGTGTAAGAAACAGGGACTGTGCCCTGGTGGAGCTATTAGGAAAGAAGAATAGAATTTTAGCGGTTTTCAAAAAACATTAACTATAAAAATTTACCATTTGCATTTAAATACCAACATTCATAACAACATTGTTCACAATGGCTAAAAGTGAAACAGCCCAAGCATACATAAACAGATGAATGGATAAACAATATATGATATATATTCACAATGGGAACATGGTAGCCATTAAAAGGAATGAAGCTCTGATATACGCTACAACATGGGTGACTATGAAAACATGCCAAGTGAAATAAGCCAGACACAGAAGGATACATATGATCCTACTGACATCAAAGGACATTACTTGAATCATATTCTCTTTAAAAGTTCTTAGAGCAACAAAAAGAACTCTGAAGGGTCAAGACCAGGGCTGTAGAGTGGATGGGGTAAAGGTTCACAACGAAATTCTCAGAGGACAGCCCTTGTTATGAAGAAATGAACACTGCCATGATAGAAAAATTCCTCAGGGCCACTTTCCTAAAATTATTTTTCACCAGTGTAGTTTTCTTTAGACTTCTTCCTAATAAAGTACCCATGATCATCTTGTGCTCTTTGATCAAGATTATCCCTTTGGAATCCCAAAAAAGATAATATTCTGAGTGAGTAGCTCTCTGACTTCAATTTAACTGGTTCAGTAAGATCCCCTTGGAAGCCACTGTTTTGATTGGATGTTTTTTGTGAAAGCACCCTAACAAGACTGGTAAGAGAAGTAGTGTGAGCAACTAAATCGCAGTTGTTGTTAAGTGCTGTGGAGTCAGTTTCAACTCATAGCAACCCTGAATAGGGTTTCTGAGGTAAGTTTGACCTGCTGACCTTACAGTCCAGTGCATTATACTACAGCGCCATGTCAGGACACATTTAAACATACTACATTTGGAATATACCTGTACAATCATACTCCTAAAACTGTCAAATACTTTTTTACATTTAACATAAACTCTTAATTTTTGTTTTTAGGGTCAAGTAGAGCTCTGATTTTTCTTGTAAGTAAATAAACAATTAAACCTGGTCTGGTTATTGAAGCAGCCTTTTCCCTCTTAAAAAAATACCAGATCTTTTACCATCCAATTAAAATTCTCACATAAGTTTAAATCTGTTGAAACATAGACATTGTTGAATTGGTGTATGTTCTAATATGAATATAAAAACTTTAAATAAAGAAAACAAAATAATGCTCATAGTAATCAAGCTTAGATACGATTTTAATGGAAGTATGTACTGAATTTGACCAATAAGAAGTTTACTTCTTTAATTTCAGAGTACAGACTCACTTTTCAACTAGGTCTAATTGTCTGTGTTTTTCCATGCTTGAGATTTAGTTCCCTCACGAGGAGTAATGACACAGCTTTTCTTCAAACAATCCACAGAAGAATCAAAGGCCATTTGTGCTAGATCTTGAAGTCAGTTTGCAATTATGTAGGATTAGTCTGGTAGCGTAGTGGTTACGAATCGGGCTGCGAACCTTAAGGTCAGCGGTTC